CAGCATCTAAAAATAAGGACTTTTCAATATTGTGGACATAGTGGGAAATGGGCAAATTATAGAAATGTAGTGAAGAAAAATGGATAGAACTTGAATTGGGGATGGGGAGAGAGAAAAGGTGAGAAATGAATGTCACTGTAGTTTGGATTCTGGAAAACAGAGAAAACAAATTATTCAAAATAGAAATGGAAGAACTAGGAAGTTACAGGAAGGGATGTAACATGAGTCTTTTGAGTTATCAGTTAGGTATAATTTTTAGTATGCACAATATATGTACTAGAATGTGTATTTAAGAATTAATGGATATATATATATATATGTGTGTGTGTATATATATGTATATGTATATATGAAGAATGACTCCTGCAAGAACATGGATGTTTTAGTTTCAGAGTTTCACGAAGTAGTAAAATCAACACAGAATAAAAGATTATGAGATTAACATGAGCATTAAATTTAAGAGCCTATTTACCTAGGAAATTCAGTGTCATTCATAGAGAAGCCCCAAAGTGTCACACTTATCTGAGTCTTAATATATAAAAGAAACTTTAAAGCCAATAAATGAAGCAAGACTTTTGAATAATAAAGATTTCAATTAAATCCCAGCTTTGCCTTCTCTGAGTGTCATTCTTCAGCAGCTAAAAAGGGCGAATATCTACCTCATGGGGTTGCAGGCAGAACATGCGAGGTGACAGGTACCATGCGGAGCTTTAGATGCTCAATAAATGATGGCTACTATGAACTCATTCCAGTAGAGATGAAAGACAAAGAAATGGGCTCATATTCTTTCTTTTTAAAAAAATATCAGAAGGGTCTTTGGGCTCCTGTTTACATCACACCACAACTCCTGCTGCAACAGGCATGTGTTTAAGCAATGATTAGGTCAAGTTTCATGATTAGTGTGAAAATTATTGCAATAATGGGCAGCATGCAGAATTCCTAACCTGAAGAATAATTTGTCTAGGTTAGGAGGCAAGTATGTGTTGAAAAGATCAAGATAACCCTTGGCTATTCTAAGTATGTACTCTCAAAATCAAATTGAATTTGTATCTAAAATTAAGTAAAAATTCTTTAATTTGAAAAAGCGTCAATATTTTATTTGCACATTTTATTAGCATAAGATTGAGTTTCCTATTTATGTTGGCTTTTCCAAAGTGATTACGTACACCCAGATAAAATTTTACCACTTGATTTCCATGGGCTAATTCAACCTGTAAACTTCAAGAGATTCTGTTGCTAACGATGCTTAAATTTAAGTACATTCAAATATTCCAGTTTTTATACCAAATCTGATTAAGACTACTTCGCTCAAGATATGATTAGACCTATTTTTTTCAAAAAATTGCTTTTTTATAATTTTATTTGTTGATTTATTTTCCCCCAAAGCCCCGGTAGATAGTTGTATGTCATAGCTGCACATCCTTCTAGTTGCTGTATGTGGGACACAGCCTCAGCGTGGCTGGAGAAGCAGTGCGTCGGTGCACGCCCGGGATCCGAACCCAGGCTGCCAGCAGCGGAGCAGGCGCACTTAACGGCTAAGCCACTGGGCCGGCCCCCAAAAATTGCTTTTTAAAACAAAGTATAAACAAGCTATATCATCTTAAGTAAGTTATAAGTTTATTTGGAACTAAAATTTGAGAAAACTGCTAATTTTTAAAGGTTGGCTGGCTCATTTAACTGCAGAGCAATACTTTGAGGGTAGGCGAAATTTAGCACTTGTCTTCTAAGCCAGATGAAGTTGGCAAATTCATCTAACAGAGTAAAATGGATAGCAACCCATGTTATCCTCGTTCAAACCCCATTGGTCAACAAAAAAGCTACTGATTTAACCAACAAGAAAAGATTCTGAAGCTTTGGTAGATAAAAATGAGTATTGATTAAGTTTTTCAGAGACACGTGAATGAACAGATAGTCATAATCACTCGCTGTGGATAGATACTGAGCTATTTATATGAAAGAATAGCAATTACAAAATTATATCAATCTTCTCCCCAGACTGCTTATTTTCTTCCCAGTCTGTGAAAAGTTTGGACATCCTAGTAACTTAAATGATAACAAAAGAAAAGAAGCAAATCATTTTTTTACATAATATTCAAATATATATTTGTATTTTATTTTAAAATACCTTTATGAATCAATTTGTCTATTTTTATTTTTAAATCAATGTCGATAAACTATACTATTCTATGTTTTTTAATCATATACTTTCAATCTATGTGATATTTGTGGAATGTATGTATTCATAATTTGGTGTAATTATTCTTGGTAAAATACTATGCTAAATATCATTTTAATCTATTCAGGAATTACATGTTACAATTATATTGGTTATATTTTGTTTTTATAACATTTTAATAAAATGTTTAAAGTATAAATATAATTTATCATTTATTTTTTATTTCACATTTTAAAGAGGCATATTTAGTTTAACGTGAACATTATTAGTAGAAGTTTTACATAAATTCTCATGGTGCTATTTAAAATTTTATTTCTACCAAAATTTCATTCCATTGACCAAGTTTTGATGTAGATAAATTTTCTATTCTTCCTAAATTTATCATTAAGACTCTGACATTGGGATGACAAATGATTCATACTGTGGTTTATTTTTCATTGCCAATCACCAGGGTATTTAGAAAAATATCTATGCACATCTTTGTAAGTACTCTGCTTTCTAGAGATGCTCGAATAATCATATCGTGATTTTTTTTTCTGAGTGATACCTCTCTTTCACACCAACTAGATACTAGTGTAGCAATTGACACATTCTCTAAGTAATTTTGAAAATCTTCTAACCTAGAAAGAGTTCAGCAAACTCTTTGCTCCATTCCCAGCAAAACTATTTTTTAGTTCAGACACTATATGCCATGTAATAATCCAATATGCTTAAAGTTTAACATGATCTTAAATTTATATACATTTTAGGAATTAGTTTTATACATAGTCTTGCAATCTTCTGCAAACGAGTTCAAGTAAACCTGAAAAACCTCACCACAAACTTGCTAACTCACATCTGTTCTAGCAAAAAGACAGATTTTTGAAACAACTGAGGCATGGTGCTGCTGGATTATATAATCCTATCATAAGGTTCCAATGTTATTATTTTCTCTATCTTATCGAACAAACTTTCAGAAATCACCAAGAACCTTCATAAATATGTCCAATTATGATTTTTACAGATTTAACTTTGACAAAAGATAATGGTTTAAAGTTTAATCCCTTCCTTTGTCCTTATATGCTTTGATTCTGTTTGGTTTCAAAAATAGAAAATAGTATTTACTCCCTGCCTAGCTGTGGTATAAAGACTATAAGAAAAAAGTTATTAGTTTGATTCTTAGGAAAGTCACAAACAGCAATTGTCTATAGAGTGAGGCTGGAAGTGAAATCCATATGTAATGCCTCTGTCAGCAAAGACTTAGTAAACGATGGCTTATAATAAATATTCACATCTGCTGCTTTGGACACTCTAATCCATCCTAAGGATCTTTGCTGTGTCAGGCTTTGTTCTAGATGAAGAAGCCCGGGAGTTATAAAGGTTTGCAAATAGGCCGTATTTATCATGGTTAGCTGAACTTGTGTAACTTTTCACTGTTTTAGAGATATTCATGACAATTTGGGGTATAATTTGTGATTAAATATTTCACTGTGACTTTTATAGTGATATCATTATGAAATTTTTATTGTGAAATGGACAAATTTTATTTTCACAATATATCACCTACTTAAAATCTGTCAAGAAGGCGTCATTAATAACATTGCTGTGCTGGATGTGGAAAATGTAATGACTAAAAGCCCAGGCTCTGGATTCAAAATGCTTCTGATTAAATGGTAGATTTTTCTATACCTGGGATGTCATCCTAAGCAAGTTACTTGTTTACATCCTAAGCAAGAGCCTTTCCAAGCCTCTCTTTCTTCATCTACGTAATGGAGTTAATATTATTTTCTTTATCATTGGATTATTGTAAGGATTATATGGAATTATCCCCATCAGGTACTAAATCTAGTACCTAGCATATTGAAAGAGTTTAATGAATTTTAAAAGTTATTACTGGAATGATAATATGCTTTCTAAGTAAGATTAGATAATCCAATGGATAGTACTATTATTCTTATTTACCCCATTTATTGAGCTTATATAAACATATTCTATTGCTTTTATTTACCTCCAAATTCCCTGATAGTTTGCTACTGGACTTCTTTAATAAAAATATTAGTTAGAATTGGATTGCTGATTTGTTTTTCACTTGAAGGAAATTATTCACTCAAAAATACATGATATACAAATTATGAGAATACTCTATGCTGTATTTAGCTCTCTTATGTAACAAAAATTTAGTTTAACAGAATATTGAATTATAAATTAGAGCAAAAAAACCTAAATGAAGTATTTATTTTCACTTCAACTCCAAAAAGATGTGTTGAGTTCATGAGTGCCACAATTTTTAAAGCATAAATGTGTATTATTACCATTTTAAGTAATGATTTATCATAATTATAATAAACAAGTTTGAAGTATAATACAAATTTTAAAATATGAATTATCCATTACTTGTGTGTGTGTATATATATATATATATCTTTGCCATAGATACATTTTGAGGCTTATGTTTTTTAACACTTTTTCACATATAATTCACTTGAAAAGGAAAACTGCATTGCTTAGTTGTTTTCAATCTCATCTTCTCAAAATTATTTATTAATCTCAAACATAAGGAGACTAGCAGGGCATTTCATGACCTCTACATATAAAATAGGTAGAACATTAGGTTTTACCTCATTTTTTAAAAAAAGTTTGTAATCTAATCATTGACATGTCTTAATTCTGATGGGAATTATTTCCTATACAGACAGGAGTTAATTCATATTTAATGACTGACATAAAACGAGTTTGTTGAAATATAATTGTCACAAAACTATGTATTTCATTGCTTATAAACTGTGACTGCTTGAAATAAAACTTTGTCATTCTCTCTCTCTCTCTTTCTTGCTCTCTCTCTCAGGTCGAGTTTTAGCTCAGGCGAGTGGCAATGGGGTTATCCATTTGCTGGATCTTAAATCAGGGCAGATTCACAAACTGATGGGCCACGAGAGTGAGGCTCACACAGTCGTGTTTTCTCAGGATGGAGAGAGTCTGTTTTCCGGAGGCTCTGACGGCACCGTTCTCACGTGGTCTTGACGGTCAGCATATCCCACTGCAGAGGGCATTCCCTCTAAGGCTTGAAAATGCCTCGTATAGTCCCAAACCAGTAAATATCTGGTTAAACATGCCAGCAGGTAACATTTACAATTAGCTTTAAAACATACTTTGGACATATATTTTAGCGCTCATCCCGTTACCAATAAAAAAAAAATAACTTTCTGCTCATTTATTTGTGTCTGGGTCTTTTTTTCTTTCTCATTTTGATAAGAATTTAGAGACAGCATCTTTGCTAGGGGTTTGGAAGAAACAGCTTTACAATGACGCCTAATGACAAACTAGATGAATTACAGGAGATTGATTTTGATGTTGGAGAACAAACTGCAGAAGAACTGGGCTACTTTTTTTAAATCGAATCCAAGCTGCAGGAAGACACAAAGCTGAATCACATAGCATGGGGAAAGTCTTTCTGCAGCCAAAGGGTCAAATAAAATTGCAGAGCATACATTTTCACAGATTCTTTGACAGTGATTATGCTTTATCTATTAATAATCAGAGACTGCAGATGGCTTACATCTAAATGCAAGGCTCTTCCGGAACTTGCATTATCTGCAGCCCATCCAAGAATGCGTTAGGTATAATTACAAGGTTTTTTTAATTTTTTATTGTAATTTCAGTGCAAATAAGTATCTCGCACGTAAAATGCCTTTCCCCCAATGCACGCGTCCGCTGTATAAAGTGCGGCTGCTTAGACAACACTCCAGCCTGGTCTAAAGCAGCAGTTCGGGATTTCGACCGAGCTGGGCTCAGAAGCCAGTTGTTGGCGCTGTCCGTGGTGCTGAGGAATTCCCGGCTGCCAGCAGAATGAGCTCCGAATCAGCAGTCTGCAAACTGCTCTCAGTGATGCAGAAACCCAGCTAAAGTTGCTCCTTTCCTTCACGTCCACAGTTAGTATTTTCTGGTGTGTAAGAGGGGATTCAAGCAACACATTGTGGATGATGCTGATGGTATTGCTGGCGGAGCGGGGTTTAAGCTACAGCATGCTGTTGCTGTTGGTGATCCTCAGAGCCTAGCCAGATCACCTCTACTGCCGTAGCACTGTGTAACTGAACTCATGTGTGGAGGAGGCGTAATCAGCCGGGAAATTTCATAGAAGGATCTGGGAAAATGCTAAAAATAAGTTCAACATGATTTTGCTCCTGGGATCTGGATTTCTACAGGACCAGCATTGCTTCTTGCTTTGAATTCTGAAGACGGGTCCAAAGCATATTTCTTATGTGTGTCTGCTGTGTTTCTCTCTGGAAGGGCGGGAGACTGCTTCTTGACTGTGTTTTGAAATGGGAGGTAGAGAGAATGGATTGCCTTTAATTCAAGCCTGAAAATGTATCCTTTGGATAATTAAAGAGGAACTGTTTTCTTAAAACGTACCTGATCTTTTAGTTCATATTGGTCTATGACCCCCACCACCACCATTAACCTCCAGAGTGATTAGGTAAGTGTATCTTACGACATGAGTTATGTTTGTTTTCTCAAAGAAATAGATGCAGTCATTTTAAGTCATATGTAGCAATATAGGGAGGGGGGAAAGTTTAGCTGGGAAGTGATTCTCAGTTTAGCAATGTTTGCTTACTTATTAAAAATCTTCAGATAAACATTTTATTTGATTTATCTAATGTTTCTTCTCTTAAACAAACAGTGTCTTAAACTGCACTAGAGCAGCTCAATATGAAGAGAGATTTTTCTAAAAAATTGCCTAAGAACTTTGTTAGATTAAAAAAAAAAAAACCTTGTTTTCTCCATGCAGATTTGAAAATGCATTTCATATAATAAAAACATGTTTAACGTTTATATAAAGTGGATATTACACTCTTATTTTTACATTTAAGTTTACATTTACCATAACCTGACACATTAATGCCTACCTGTAGCTTGCAAAGAGATCATTTTCTGTCTATGTCCTTTTGAAGCAGAATGATATGTGTATTTTATATGGCTTATCTTGCATGTATTGACAGATACTACTGGAATACTATAAGGAAGCACAATAGCTCCTTTTTCTTCCAAGATAAACTTTCTAAATATGTGAGAGATATATAAATGCATGCCTTAATTAGTAAAATTATTTATGCTTTTTCAGAATCTTCTGTTATGTTTGTGGCCTCTCTAGTAATTTAAGAAAAAAAAAATGCTTTGTCAAAGGCAGCTTCCAGCTTCTCAAGTAGAATTATAGGTTTGCATTTTTTTATTCTGTCATGACTCATTATTTTTGACATATTTTAAGGGAAATCCATCTCCTTTATCATTACCTACCCAAAAGGAATTCTAATATCAGAGAGCAGTTTTCTCTTGAAGGAGGGCATGAATGTACTACCTTCCATTTTACTATTACTAGATTTGCATATCTAACTTAAAACGCAACTCTAATAGTTCAGGAAGTTTCCTAATGGCATCTTTATCTTTTTTAAAATTATCATCTGTATATGTTAGACTGAAAGAAAATAGTCTATCATTGCTCTTATTATAGTCTGAAAATAAAGCATTGAATAACATTTATAAATGATCTGAAAATGTACTATAAACAATCTTAGGAATATTGGCATAAAGCCAATAGCACTTAAATAGACACATTAACTATTTGACAGTACTTTTCCTCATCTATTACTCCCTAAAGTTACAGTTTCCCCAGAGCCTTTGTATGAGTTAGCCACTCTAAACATTTAAACAAGAGCCCACTACCAACACTCCACACCAAACACTAATACCAAGTGAAGTTTACAAGAGTCAATGCCATCAAATTAATAAGGCATATTTTCTATGAACGGCAACACCTCATTATTATTTTAAGAAACTTCAATAAATAATTTTACACTGGCATTTTTGTGCAAATTGCTCAAATGCAAATATCTTTGGCATTTCACAAAAGAGTTATGTTTTCAAGACTGTGTGAATGGGATTTATTTTATAGTGAAGTAATTAATTCGAATAGTATTACATGAGTCCTAGATTCAAGTTGCTATAAAAAAAATTCACAGATACATCTTTCCTGCCCACTAGGAGCTTACTTCCTGAGTAAAATAAAAGTGTGGACAATAGCACAAATTTATTTTTAACAAATCCCTTTCAATACATGCTCTTGTGTAGTATTTATTATTTTAAAATTTCTTTCTCTTATTCACTGATAAATAGTTTTTATAAATAGTGCTATTTTTCTTGTTAGTTATGTTTCAAAATCCAAATTCACGTTCACTGAAAGAAGTAACCCATATTGTGACCATTGTTGATCACCAATTATGGGCATAAAGAAGTAGGAAGGCCTTTGTACTAGCTCCATCCCAATTATAATTTACATTCGATTGTTGCTTTCTTCCCTTTCTTTTACAAGTAAAATTTTTTTCTCACTAATCTCTTGAGTTTTCATACAGATAATTGTAACATATATATATTCTATCACTGACTAGTCCAGTTTAAAGAATAACAGGAAATGTGAATTCGAATATTCTTGAGTTATTTGTAAGTAACTACTTGTAAAATTACCTTTTGAGGCTCAGCAAAACCACTTCTTACAATTTAGACAAAGACAGACCTTTGAAATTCAGAAGATAAATTCAAGCTGAAGATTCCTAGGTGGAATAACTCCAGGAAGGACAAATTTTAATGCATATATTTCCAAGGATCAACTCTCCAAACTTCATAATAAAGTATAGATAGTTGCATGAACTTAGTCTGTCTGAGATCTTAGTATCTTCCAAATAGATCCCAAATAAACAAGTTAAGAACATGAGCTTAAACGAATCTATATTCTCTTTGTATATTTCAAATTATTCTTTTTAAATATTTATTTTCAGCCTACCCATCTTGTGTTCCCATGGAAGGAGCTGAGTATATTTAATATTAGGAGCACATCCAGAAGCCTTTGAGGAGGGGGATGGCTCTTCATATTCATGAAGTTTACATACTTCTGTTGGTCATCCCTGGATTGGTTACCTCTGCTGCCATCAGTCATGAAGACTATCCTGCTGATGAAGGTGACCAGACCTCCAGTAATGACAATCTGATCTTTGACGACTATCGAGGGAAAGGGTGTGTGGATGACAGTGGCTTTGTATACAAGTTGGGAGAACGATTTTTCCCAGGACATTCCAACTGTCCATGTGTTTGTGCTCTGGATGGACCTGTTTGCGACCAACCCGAATGCCCTAAAATTCACCCAAAGTGTACTAAAGTGGAACACAATGGATGCTGTCCTGAGTGCAAAGAAGTGAAAAACTTTTGTGAATATCATGGGAAAAATTACAAAATCTTGGAGGAATTTAAGGTATGAGTTACCCTCTGTATTTATTGAATACTAACTTTTCCCACCACATTTATCAGATTACTACATCAAAATTAATGTTAGAGAACCATATTTTAAAATTTCCCTTTAATTTACAACAATATGATTCCAATTAGCATAAGTACCATTGTGGTCAACACATAGCCAGTTGGTTTGTTGATCAATATCTGTAGGGTTTCACAACAACCTTTCCTTTAAAATTATTTAGGGCACGCTGAACATCTTTTACTTTTTGCCCTTAAACATTTCTTCTGTGTTATTATAAAATATGTTTTCTGAGGGAAACAATTTTGTTTGTAGGCTGTGTATCTATTAAGTTAATGTTTAAATTTTGTGAGATTTCTTGTGTGACTTATTAGCCTGTATTCAGAGCCATTTAACTAGAGTCTAAAGTTATCTGTGTAGGGTGTGGAAACGCAAGTTCTACAGAGCCACAGTTCTGAGCTGTGGTCTTTATACTAACAATATGTATTGGACCTGCTTATTGTAGAGCACGGTCCCCACTCTGTTCTATGCTGGTTAGATTTGTTTTTACTTACAGGACCCCAGAGAGAAGTGAATTTTTATCATAGTCCATTGTAAAAGGTAGTAAAAAAAAAAAGCTGTAATTTTTTCAGTTTCCATGGTATTTCTTAGTCTTTTATACTTGTGTCATATTTTCAAGTAACTTGGAGTTCCTTTTTATCTCTTCATGGAGTCTCTTTTCTCCAATGGCTAGTTTTAATTAGGGTTTCCTACAAGCCAGATCTGAACCCTGAGGGTATAAATTAATATATCAAAATGTCCTCCTTAAATGTAATGGCAGTTTGTGCCTTGGAGTATCTGTCATACTGATGACTTGATATAAAAGATTTCCATTTCATCTAATCAAGTTCTGTGATAAGAACCTTATAGGCAAAAAAAGATACAGCTAGTTTTCAGTGTGACTGTTTGTGTTTGAGAGAAGACTGTTTGGTTGTTAGCACTGACCCAACATCCTTGACCACAAGAGTCAAATGGTGGATGAAGTCAATATGTAGAAAAAAGGTTTTAACTGATAATGATCAGAGTATTCCATGTATTGGCACTTCATTGCATTCAGCCCATTCCAGGTTATGGATTCAAACCAGTTCTAATTTACCCAAGAATACCCAATCATTTTAACTAGATTTCTTAGCACCTGAGGGAAATTTTAGTGATAATTATCACATTCAACTTTCTTATACAACGTTTTGGTCAACAACGGACAGCAACGGTTGTCCCATAAGATTAGTATAGTCCCATATGGCTTAGGGGTGTAGAAGGCTATACCATCTAGTTGTGTGAAAGTACACTCTCTGGTGTTCAAACAATGACAAAATTGCCTAGCAATGCATTTCTCAGAACGTATCCCTGTTGTTAAGCAATGCATGGCTGTACATAAATGTTATTTTAGACTTTTCTCTTTTGTGTATTATAATACCTTGTTGCACAGTATTGAGACAAGACTTTGAGACTCTAGTAAAATTACCACTATTGACATCAAATAATAGTTAAGAGTATAGTATAGTTATTAATGACTTTATGATCTCTAAAATATTGGATACATTTTGACATTAGCTATTTTTCCTTTTAGGGTAGTGAAAGTAAATGCAAATACTCAACATATGATTTGATTCTAGACTTGGTTCTAGAATCATGTCAATCTCCTCTAACATGCATATTTTTCTAGAGTAGAATGCAAAAAGGCATGTAAGATAGCCTAGCCCAAACAAAAAAGTACATCAAATAAAATTTCTGAGTTTTATATAATTTAGTAATCAATATTTAAGAAAGAAGATATTGATTATTTGAACTTCGACTAGATTTGAACTCAGTCAACTCACTACTAAAAATGCTATAGTTTTCCCTCTATTTATTATATTTTATTATAAAGGTAATAACTATCTTACCATGTCAAACAATAAAGAATATATAAAAAAATTAATCCTTCACTCTAACTGTATGACCCCACTATAGTCAGTATGTAATTCATTGATGTGTACAACTTTTCCACCTGATTCTCTATGCCATGAGATTTTTTAACGTGATTTATAAAAAAGAAAACAGATGCCACTTTTTCACAAAGATTTAGAGTTATGAGGGCTTTAGAGATTATCGAGGGCAAATTCGTAAGAATGAGGAACTGAGACCAAGAGAGTTTATTTGTCCAAAATTGCCAAGTTATTTAATCAATTTCTAAATACTGTCACCCTAACAATAAAGTCTACATAACCTCTCAAAGAACTTTGGCTCTAAAGTCATATAGACCTGGTTTCAAATCCCAAATTCATCACTTGGATGTATGACTTTGGAAGGAGTCCTTAAACTTTTTGAGCCATAGTGGCATTGGCTATAAAATGGCCATCATAATAATTACTTCTCTTGAGAGGAGATACTGGAAAAATTTAATGAGATAATTTATTCAAAGTTAGCAGCCGTGTGATGACTGGTACACAACAGATATTGAATAAATGTTTGTTCCCCTTCTTATAAACTCTAATGTCCAAAGACTTACTCTAAGTTCTAAATTCCTTTATGTCTTCACCTACATTTTATAATGGAAGCTCAACTTTAAAAGTCATTCAATTAAAAGAATTCCAATTACTTTTCAAAATGTTCTGCTTATCTATGTGAACTACATACACTTAAGTAAATATCAGCCCTGATTTGTCATCTTGATTCTCTTCCAATTCAGCTTACAAGAGACAAGTAACTAATTTCTAAAGATGTGTGGAAATTTCGCATAATCATGGCATGTTATTAAAGAGGTTGTATTATGATATCTTTTTACACATAATATATTCATCCAACAAGCATTTATTGGGCTGTTTAGTATAAAAACTACTGTAGATGTACTTACATGGGAAGGTAAGGTATCTAGACAGCAAAATCTCCACTCACAAGGAAAACATAAACAATGTGAATAGAGAAGTGTCCTGGGGAAGCAGTCTCAAGTGAATTATGTGATTGTGAGCTTACCACCAAGAGATTATGGTGTCAGAAGCTTATCAACATGGTTTGAGGTTTGGTCAAACAAAGTTTCTTTTTCTTCAGGATGGTCAAAGTTGAACCTGTTCTTAAAGAAGTAATTAAGATTGATCTGGGGAGAATAAAATTCCAAAGAGGAAACTGCTTGAGCAAAATCAGAGATTGGGATAAATAAAATCTGCAAAGAGAAGAGGAAGGGGGGAATAACAGAAAGCTGGATCTTACTAAGATGCTATTATAGTAAGAGAGAGATTAATTTGTATGTGTGTTTTGGACAGTGGAGAGAGGAACTTGAATACTGGGCCAAAATATTTAGATTCAGTCTAAAGAATAACAAGGAAAAGTGCAGGTTGTTGTGCATAGAGATGACCTAGTTAAGTATGTTTTTTAGACAAGATTACCATATAGCCAAGTATAGAGTGGAATATAGGTGAAGAGAAATTAATGGCTGGGGAGGTCACAGAACACAAAGAATGAGACAACCAGCATGCATATGGTCAAAAACATTCAGGACAGTCTTTAGAATAAAAATCTAAATTCCCTAGTATAGTCTAGAGTCCACTTACTGACCTTTCCAAGTATCTCAAACTCTCAGTGACTTCTCTTCCTGTGTGCTTGCACGTGCTATCCCACACTTTTTCACCACCGCACACCTGAATAAATCCTACTAGACTACTTCAAAACTCCATTTAAATCTCATCTCAACTGGAAAGGCTCTCCGACTGTGTTACTACTCTATCCCGGCTAGGTCTTGCTCCTCTCCTGTATGTGCCCACAGCATGCTGTGCACACCACTATAACGAGAACAGTAATCATAGCCAGACACTGTTAAGACCATTATGTGTATTATAATGCATTTCATTTCATAATAACACTATGAGGGTTATACTTATATTAGCATTGTTCTACCGATAAGAAAACTGAAGCATCAGAGTGCAAGTAGTTTGCCCAACATCATACAGCTCTAAGGCAGAAGAACTAGGATTGAAACCCCGGCAGCCTGGCTGCAGAATCTATGCTCTTCACCATCTCTACTGCCTCTATCACATTGCAAAATATAATGTGAAACAACCTGTCTCTCCCACTAGACAGTGAACCCTTTGAAGCTAGGGACAAGGCTTTCTTTTTTCTTCTCTGTTCCCAACCCCAGCACAGCATAACAGGCATTCAGTACATTTTTGGTGAATGACATATGGATCAGATTATAATCGACTGCATAGAATAAAGAAATTAGAGTTCCTTCAAAATGTCTTAGTTTCCTTTCTGCTTATGTGTTGATCTCTTCATTTTAATTAGTTAAAGCACTCAAAGTTCAGATAAAGAGTGCTCTTTGGGCCCCTAAAGATGACACACAACGTTCCTGAAGCACCTGTTTCCATCCTGCTGCTTCCTACTCCTTCTCCTAGCTCTCCTAACCACGACCCAGCATGGAGTCCACCTCCATCCCAGGGTTGTAATGACTACCGGGTGTTTTAGTTGTGTTGTCTCACCCTATACAGTTGCAAAACGTATGTCCCTACTTCAGTCTTTTCTGATCATCAAATTCAAGTGTAAATTGATCCATGTGTGTCACCGGATGGGAAGAATAATGTTATTTATACAAGTTGGCTTTTTTTCCCAACATTTGCTGATGCAAGCTTTGAAAGTGGATTTCTCTCTACTCTTTTTGAAAACTCTAAATTTTCCAGTGTTCTGGTAATATTGTATTAAGATAAAGGTCACTGTATGGTAGGTTCTCTCATCTCTCTTTTATGTTTATCCGGACAAAATGACACTGAAACCTACTTTTTAAGAAATAAGGAGTATAAATAGTAAATTATAATAACATTTTCTTTAAAAAGTTGATTGGAAATCTAGGCACTATCAGCTTTGGCTCTGGGCTCACTATCTCATGCTGAGTTTCCCAAAGAGAAAATTATTTCTTATTTTGCTCAGTATTTTTATAACTCTCACTCAGCTAGAATTAGCTTTTGGGACTTTTTTTATACTTTAAA